CGTTTGTTGAAGAGAATCGAGGAGGAATATAAGAAAAACCGATTCAAAGAAAAACCACGTGGCCCTATTGGTATGTAAAGTTATTTTTTTTAAATTAATTAACTATTGTATGAAGTTAGTGTTAGTTTTATTTTATTAAGTCATATATACGTGATTATGCAGGTGCTTTCATAAAATTGAAGGATGCCGCTTGGGCACCGGCTGTAGAAAATTTTCTAGGTTTTGGCACCCTTAACTCGTTCTGTGTGGATAATAGTCAGGATGCCAAATTGTTGAACAGTATTATGAAGGAAATTTTTTACAATGAGAGTACCCTTCAAGTAATATGTAGTAAATTTTTTAATCAGGTAAGAGAAAATAATTTTTATTATTTTGAAATTAAAATATTTATTAAGAGAATAATAGAAATAAATATTGTATATAAATATTTAACATTTCCATTAACTTCTTAAATGAGAAAAGCAAGCAAGACGATTAAGAATGTTAATTTTAATTTGAATAATTGCATAATTAAGATAATATCAATTTGAATATTATTTTAATTTTGAATAAGGCTTAATTCTCTTTCTTTTTGTTTCTCGGTTTTAAAAAAAGAAAGTTTTAATTCTCGCTTAAAATCAAAGTAATGTTGATACAATCGGAAATCTTAAATTTTTAGGTGCATGATGTTAGACGTCACTGTACATATTCGCCACAGTATTCCAACCTCTTGGAAGCAATGGTTATAGAAGATCCTGTCGTAGCTAATTCTTTAATTGATCAACGTGAAATTGAATGTATACTTCTTATACCAACAAATGAAGAGGCTTGCGCGATAATGTCAGATGAGACAAAAGTGCCAAAAAATTGCAAAAGAGCGTTTACTCTTCATGGTGACACATTCTTTCCCGATCCAAATTATAGAACTTACGGCGGAAATTGTACACGTGCTAAATATCTTCAAGTTTCTACCATGGAAGCAATGCAGTAAGTACTACAATTTAATCTAACACTAAATTCTATAATTTAAACTCAATAATTGTATATGAAAAAAAATTTAATGCAATCGTTAATAATTTTATTAATTTTTCATTTAGAACGCTAAAAGAAGAACTTCAGATAGCGGAAAATAAAAAACAGGAAGCTACCATAGCATATAATGCTGTACGTGAAAAATTAAATCGTACTAATTCTGAATTAACTAACGTAAGCATAATGGTCCGCAAGCTAAGATCCGCGCAAAGTGAATGTACTAATTTGATTAATGAATTGAAAGATAAAATTGAGTCTACTGAAGGCACTTCTGTTGATGTTTTCGTGAGTAATTAGAAACATTTTGAAATAGTACTATTTTTATTCTCTAGAGCAATATAGCTGCATGATTTAATTTATTATTAATAGCGACACGAAGCTGCAGAAATAGAAAAGAAGATAGCGCATGAAAGTGCCGCGGAAAAACTTTTAGCGGAGAATGTGCAAGAACTTCAAAAGAATGTTGAATCTCTCGACATGGAAGTTAAGCGTTGCAGGGACTTAAGGCATAATTTACATATAGTTGTTGATCCTCTTAAAGTATGTTTATTCATTAGTATAATAATTAATATCTATTAACGTATAATATAATAAGTAATATATCTATATATCTTTATATAGGACCAAATAAGAGAATTAACACGAGAGAAGGAAAGGCATCGGCACGAGTGTCAACGTGCTGTTCGAAAATTACAGGATATTCGTCAAGCTATACAATGCGCAACGGGGGAATTCGAAATACAAGAGAGAGTTACAAAGAAAGCGGTTTCTGTCGCTATTACAAAATGTCCTAGGATAGATACTATCAGGTTAGCATTTTTTTATTTGTTGATACAATATTATGTGTGTACTTAAAATTATTTCGTAATTTCTTAATTTTTATTTATATTTTAATTATTTATGTTACATTGTTTTCATATCTTATCTTTTACAGATCGATAAACCAAATCAAAACTTTACTGACTGATTTACAAGATAAAATTCGCGAAATAGAAAATCAGTTTGGTTGTATGGATGAATTACGACTACAACTGGCAGAAAAACAGGAAAAGTATGGAGTGCACATTGAATTTTCCTCGCAATTGAAAAAAAGTTTCGAAGTAAGTAAATTACCTATATAATTTTTACAGACAATGAACTATTCAAGGGAATACTTACAATATATTTATATGCTTTGCAGAAACATATCGAACGAGTGAAATATCGACAGAAAATGTTTCTCCAATTGAGGGATACGTATAGTATTTATGTGCAAAAGTCTTTCACTGATGTGCTTTCTTTAAGACAATATAAGGTATACAGCTATAGAAATATTTTTTAAATTCTATTTTTCTTATTCACAAATGGTCTTTCTTCTTTTTACAGGGCACTGTAGTGATCGATCATCAAAAAAAAGTACTTGATTTGCATGTGAGTGCACGGGATGATCAAAAGTCTGGCAACGACACTAGATCACTCTCGGGAGGCGAACGATCTTATTCGACTGTCGCGTTCATCTTGGCTTTATGGGATTGCATTCAGTTACCTTTTTACTTTCTTGATGAATTTGATGTATTCATGGTAAGCTGTTCTTATATACAGGATGTCTCAGAACTCGCGTATCGGCGGTTACCAACATATTCTTAGTGAAATTCTAAGACGAAAAGCTGTATATCAAAAAGCGATCCGATGAGCAGAATTTGAATGATGAGATATTAAAATTGACGAATGGGTACGCGCGGAATGGAATTCGCGCGGCCAGAGTCAACATAACCGAGACTGGCGCGACCCTTCAGATACTTGGATCGTGTCAAAGCGTGTTTCTCATTACTCTTTGCATTTAATTTAATTAATTAGTTAAGAATTGTTTAAAATACATCAATCGATCTTGTCCGCGAATTCCACGCGCGCCCATTCATCAACTTCAATCTCACCATCAAATTCTACTCGGATCGCTTTTTGATAGAAAGCTTTTCGTCTTAGAATTTCACTAAGAATATGTTGGTAACCGGCGATACGCGAGTTCTGAGACATCCTGTATATCCTGAATTCTTGTATAAAAAAATAATCATCTGTTGTATGCTTGTTCGTAGGACAAAGTAAACCGACGAGTGATAATGGATATCCTTTTGGAGCACACTAGATTACACCCACAAAGTCAATTTGCTTTTCTTACGCCTCTAGACACGTCGCACATTCTTGCCGAGGATTATGTAACGATTCATCAGTAAGTAAAAGTTTTTATCGAGAAAATATAAGTATTTTTTCTGTTTTAAATAATGAATAGTCTTTTTAAATATCATAAAAGTTTATATCGCCAAATAAATTTTAAAATTTCAGGAACTTTGCAATGTAACGCTTTGAATATATATATATATATTTTTTTTTCTAGATTACAACCACCAGAGAGAAGAGGCCTGAGTCAATAAATGTTCGATTTTTTTTATTATTTATATGTTTACATGATATAAAAAAGGATTTTTAGTTCTAGCACAGATGTATGAAACTTATTTTTTAGCAATAAGTAAAAATAATTTATTTGTTTGTGTTGAAAGAGAACTTCTGAAATTTTGTTTAAACGTGTCAAGCTTTATTTAAAGGCATAAAAACAAAGTTCATTAAATTTACTTTGTACGCTTTTCATAAAAGATAGGAATTATTCAGAATATGTTTGTATACGCACAATATAAATATTCTTTGCGTAACTCAAATTATTCCTAGCTTATTAGAGCTATTTGCTTAGGAATAAGAATTTGGCAACTGAAACGGTAAAGTGCCTTTAATACCGTTTAGCGGATAGATTTTCTCTTTTGATAATAAATTTTTATAAAAACATTTTGATTCGTTTAAATTTCAAGTTTGCTTCCCTTCCAGGCTCCCATATCTCTTCTCGATGCGATGTTAACTATTTCATATCCACATAAATTAACTGGATTCGCGAGAGACTTGTCTCCAGATTTGATTCTCGTTGCCAAAACAGACAGGATATCCAGAATAGCCAAAGGTGGGCGAAAGAACCGAAGTACGCACGAAACATTGCGCGTTGCGGGCCATGCCAGACCGGTAAGTAGATCAAGGTTCGCACGGCATTGCGCGAATCTGGTCCGGCCACGGTTCCCGGCTATAACGCAACACGCCTTTACGCATTACGCGCGTATTACATGCGATGCGCGTGAGTCGACTGGCCGGTGCGTGTGTCGGGCTGACTGGACGAGGCGTGGTAATCGACGTTATGTAATCCGTATGCTGGCACTTCGTTGGAGAAAGTGCTCAGCGAGCGCTTGTGAATCGGTAATGCGGTAATGTCACGGAAAGGCAAAATAACACCGGTGAGCCCGCGCCAGGTAGTACCTGACCTAATTTCACTAATTGGGCCCGGTCGAATTCGACGTTTCTTCGACAACTTTCAATGTTGTTTTTTATTTCTTTTTTTTTCAGCAAATTGGACAACGTATTATGTTATGTTATGCCGATTACTCGCGTTTAAAAATTTGAGTGCACATGTCTCGCGAATTATATAATTTCAGGGCACGTCATTCGTGAAAACAGCATAAATTTCAATTTGAAAATGCCAAATAATGCAGTTTTTACTGAGTTTGATAGGTACTTGCTCGAGTAGTTTTCGATAAAGAGGAAAATATACATTGCAACACTTTGTGTTTTCAGTAGTTTTAAACAATGAGATCTTAATAATAATGACAATTAGGAAGAAGCAATAACTACGAATGAAAAATGATTCTGTGAGAAAATCATGATTATTACAACATTCAAAACACAATTATTCCAAGTCTTATTCTAAATGATTGAAAAATATACACACATGCATCGAGAAAAAGATAGCTAAAGATATTTCTCCAGTATGACAAAATGGATTTTAATATATATTAAAAAAGTACTCTTTCTAAGAACGCAGCTGCTAATCCCAAATGCAATTTAAATCAGATTTTTTCTAAGTCCAGCTTAATTAACGAAAATACATTGTAGGCGAAGATAATTTCGTAAGACTTATGTACTTGCTACAAAAACTGAGATTTATTCGGTAAGTATCATTCCTAAGTGATGGTCAGGTCACAGTTCAGTGGAGGTAGGCAGCGGGGGCGGCGTAGGAGATGGCGGCGGGCGCGGCGACCTTGGCGATCGGCGCGGTATAGGCGAAGGGAGCGTGGGCTATGGGGGCGGCGATCTTCGCAATCGGGGCAGCGTAGGCCAGAGGAGCAGGGGCCAGAGGGGCATGGGCCACAGGAGTGGCGATCTTGGCGATCGGGGCAGCATAGGCGAGGGGTGCGGCGACCGGAGCGACGGCCTTGACAGCAACGGCGGCGGGTTCCTTGCGGACTACGGCGTTGAATCCATTGACTGGGTCAGCGGCGTATTCGACGATGCGCCTGGTGCCATCGGCTTCCAAGAGGGAGTAGCTACCCTGGACGAGGTCGCCATCACGGGTCTCCTGCTGGCTCTTGTCATCGCCAGTCAGGCTGTCATGTACGTCGTACGCATAGCTGTACTGTGGGTGCGGGTCAAAGTCTGCGTCAACAGCCTTGGCAACGGGGGCGGCGACAACCGCGGGAGCTGTAGCGTAGGCCAGAGGGGCACCAGGCGCGATAATACCGGCGTTGGCGGCGGCGATCAGGACGGCGAAAGCGATAAACTAGAGGAAAAAATTGGAGAAAAATGTGTTGGTAGAATTGGATGAAAATGCAGAATTAGAATATAAAATATAGATAAATATATAGATGTACAGAATTGATACGACAGTACACAATGAAAAAAGAATATATTATATTAACTAATGTAAGTTAAATAAACTCAGTCAAATCATGATAAACATCGTTTGCATTTTGCACTCTAATAATGCACTTTTGCCAATCTCTTCATAATAAAATTTTAGTTTAAAATGCAAACAATTAACCCGATTTAAAGAGGGGGAGGGGGACATAGAAGATTCTCTTCATGAAGAGAAGAAACTCGTAACGTGAAAGTTTGTTGCGGAATTTATACAGAAATAATTTATATAGAAAAATGTTAAATATGCTACTTTCGAGTTGTCCCGCAAATATCATTAATTGCTCTATTTTTTTTTATATTGGTTAATGATATCACAAAAAAGACTTATGAATGCACCGTTATTATTTTCGAATTGTAATTACGGAGAATCCAGCCAGAAATAAACTTTGCGTTGCGAAGAATTTCACCGACGAGAATCAACCGACAGTACTTTCCCGGCGTGGGTTGAATTTATGTCGAGAAGGATTCAAAAATACCTTGAAAGCCATTGCTGTTCAGGTGATTGGTAGTTTGCTCGATTGGTAGCTTGCTAGTCTTGCAAGTCTGATGCGAATGATACCAATGGATAGATGGTTTTCGGCTTTTATACCACTCTGCCGGGAACCCTGGAGGCCCACACCACATCACATCATATTACCGCCACCACACACACATATCAAATTGTACCCGCTCACTGATGTAACTGGGTGATGGTATCTTCGACGACTACCTGATTCGCGGTCGCGAAGAGCGCAAAATTGAGCAAGAAATCGGACCACGCCCAATGAGAGCGACGAGCCGGGATCGGATCGGGCCCCTGCTCTCGCATCTTGAAGGACCAACGAACACCGGTCGTCGTCGTCGTCGGGGACTAGGCCACGTCCTTGCCATGAGTTACTTGATCAACCCGTCTGTTTCATCGAGGGTTATTACAGAGCATTTATTTTTTTACTCTTTATTTTTCTCCAAATTTCTTCTTTTCTTTTCTTATGTATGATGGCTTTTGTGAATTTGATAAACTTTGTTAGTAAATTACGAAAATCCATACAATTTATAGGATTCTTAATATAGAATAAAATGATTAATGTAATACAAAAATAATTATACGAAAATGATCTCGCGCACTGATATTGATTATCTGTCCATGGTCGTTAAGACCTTGTAATACTTATATTTCTTATATTTTAAGACTTTCCATCAGAAAGGCTTCAAACATCATATTTTAAGGAATATTTTTCTTCTTTAAAGATTGTGCGTCCTTTTACATAAAATAAGATTTTTTTCTGATCCAAAAGTATGGATGTCAATTTGCAGACTCGATAAGAATATTTTAGATTTTTAAGCGCAATCTTTTTACTTTCAGTTACATAATCGTAAACGAACAAATACAATCAAATACTTTTATAAAGTTCTTTATATCATATTTATATATTTGCAGTCTTGGTCTATATATACAGAGCATAACTTCTCTTCATGAAAACTGTCGGATCTATGAAGATCTGCTCATCATTTATAAACTTTTTCAGAGCTCACTTGTCATTCTGTTCTCTTTGCAAATTTTTTTTAACTCTTTGATCGGTGACTTTAATGCCGCGAAATAAGAATTCTTTTTTAATTCTCCACTACTCATTTGGCTTGGACATTCTGATCTTTATTGAAGTTTCTATATTACGGTGCTTTTTTTATGATTATTGCATTTGCTTAGAAATTATATTAGTATATACAAGTTTTTTTTGTAAGATAATTTTTTAAATTGATGAATAGAGTTCATAAGTGGTTTTGACAATTGAAACCATTATCAAAAAAATTATAGCCTGATATTCTTGATTAAATATTTAATCTTAATTACCAAGCATTCCCTCGTAACACGGAACGCAATCGATGTGACAAGTTGCATAGTACTGTGCAATAAAAAGTGACACGATGCTACTTGCATCAACTTGCGTGAATAACAGCGATAGTATGCCGATCGGTACTCAGGCCAGAAGTTAATGGATACGTAGGCCGCCCACCCAGTATCACCAGTTCAGATAATTATGCGAATCGTTTCGAAATGCGTTGTCTCGTAATTTTGAAGCTTGATGGATTGTAATCTTCTAGATCGCAAAACGCACGTCAGCTAACGTGCATATGTAACAAGAGAACGAATTTCGCTCGGAAGTAATAATAATTCTAATACATGAAAATCGGAACATGAAACATTAAAGGAAATTTACACAATTTAATTTCACATACAATTAATTCTAATTTTAAACTTTGCAGATACCTGCAACACAGAAGTTACAAATTATAACTCGTAATAAATGTATAAAGTATTTATATTGATCCAGTAAACACTAACTAATAATAACAGCTGTTGATTATAATTTTCCACTCATATAATTATATGTATAATATATTATGTGTTATATATAATTGTTACAGTTATATTATAGTTTTATTGTTAAGTGGGAAATTATAAATAACAGTTATGTAATAACAGTTAAATAATATTATTAAAGTAAAAAACCGAGAAATGTTTAATATAAACGAGTGAAGAAGGCCATATTTGGTCAAAATGAGTCTTGATGCTTAATAATATTTTTGTGCGAATTTTTACAATTTTCAATTCAAGCACGATCTTATAGAACGAAATTGAAGTATATGTTATTGTTAATTAGTTATTGTTAATTAGTATTTGCTAGGGATTTTAATATTTATTGAAGAAAGATGATACGCATCAAATAAAATAATAAAGAGAGATCTCGATGTGTATGTGATTATCTGATTCTGATTGGTCAATCGAATGCTTTGATACATAAGCATTTATTTTTACGTTAAATGAATTGGCACAATATTGCATATTACATTAAAATTGTACTTACGTATCGCAATGCTTGTTGCATCTTTCGAAGTTGGTACAAGTGAAAGATGCGCGTATCTTTTCATGTTGAGAGAAGCGAAGGTCATTAATTTTAATATATATAAATAAAACATACATTTTGAGTCGCGATAATGCAAACGGCTTAACTTGAAATTATAGTAAGACTTGTTCCGATAATTGACACGCGCCGCAGGGATTCGGATCAAAGCGTTGTTCCTCGGCTAAGAAGGCAAGCTCGGTTTCAACGTCCGGGTCATCCGGTATGTAATTTATTGCCGATTCACTGCCATGCACTTACTTCCTGGCACGACCTTCGATCGTTCCCATAATCGGCTGAATCAAAGCCAACAGGTCCCTTTTCCTTTCTTTTTTTTCTTTCTTTACGCCAAATGAATTTATGTTCGTACCTCATTAATTGTCCCTCTTATGCAAAAGCATCACATGTATTTTGAAATATTGAAAAAAATATGGTAACATCGTTAACATTATTACAACATATTTGTTACTAACTGTGTCGGTGCAGTCGCATATCATAAGATTGCATTTTAAATTAATTGTGATAATATGTGATACTCATTACGTTATCATTTCTTATCATATTTGACATTTTCTTTTATTATATTGAAAATGGAGGACTTGAATTCTTTCTTCTTTTTTATTAACAAAAAAGAAGAAAGAATTCAAGTCCTCCATTTTCAACATATCTTTCTGAACAACAAATTCAAAAGAAAAAATAAATAATTTGTATATAAATCAAATATAATTATATTTGTGTGTAGTCTTCACAGCATAAATTAAAATCTGTAAAAGAATACATCCGAAAAATGCAAAAACGATTCGCTTGATGAAAAACATATTTCAAATTTCAAAAGTCTCTTCTTTGATCGCGTGTACGTTCAAAAGTTTCGGCTTCTTTGTGTTTCAATTGTTAATTTCCAGATATTGGTCTTCGGATTGAAACCGTCGATTTTCTTTGCGTTAAATTGGATGTATAAAATAACGATTTCACACGGATTTTGTGGGTAGTGGACCAGTCAGCAGAATGTACGACAAAAACGACAGTGACGAGCAAAATCTCGAACCTCGATCAGCGCAAAACTGCCCGATAATGCCCGCGGGCTTGCGATCGATCGACACGGGCGACCCACCTATTTCTTCTTTATGAAAGTGCTCCACTTCTCTTTTTCTCTCTGGCACGGGCTCCGACGACGTTAGACGATATGTCGCAATAATGCGATCCCGGTCTGTCGCGACACATTTGGCAAAGGCACGTAAATCGGAATGGCTTGAAAGTTTCATGACAATGACGAACGATATGTATTCATGATTTTCATATTTTCGACACTATCTCTTGTGCGTAGGAAGATATCAAATATCCCGGAACAATTGATCATAATTATAATGAAGGAATTATTATTCCTTTGTAGAAACTTTCAAGCCATTCCGATTTACGTGTCTTTCCCAAATATATCGTGACAGATCGGGATCACATTATTACAACATATTGTAGGAAAAAAGGTGCGCTATAATATAAATATAATATAAAAATAAATACGATACATATAAATTTATTGTATTTTTATTAAATGAAATTATAAGTATTATAATTTTATAAGTATTCATTTACTTATAAAATTAAGAATATTTATAATTTTATTTTCTTGTTATTTTTTATAAAATTATAAATGTGAATATACAGAATTAAACAATATTAATATCAATTTTAACAGAAACAATAAAATTTTTAATCTCACAATTAACAAATTTTGTAATTTGTCATGTATTTAAATAATGTAAATAGAGAACATTCAAGAGCTACAGATTATAATTTGAAGAATGGATTTAAAGAACCATGTAATAATATTTTTTGAAATAATATCTCTATTGTACTTGCTGTTATTTTAGGAACCATTAAAATCACATTCTAAGAATAATAATGTTAAAATTGTCACATATTGATATGACGATCAACTTGATGATCAAGCACATCTATACATTAACTCTTATCCCGATGATTTTGAATTCTTAAAGTTTATCTTTTGCCTAATGACGCAAACTTCTCTCATATCATATTGGAAATCTGTATTATAATTTAAATTTTCTAATCCATTCTCGACTGTCTTTCGGGGAGAAATCGGCATCTCGTTCAAGGACCGTGTACGAAAAGTGTAGTTTGGCAGGGTCAGTAATGTATAGAACAGAAATATTGCACAATGACACAAAAAGTTACGCTGAAAGATGAAAAAGAAACGAATGAATTGATTTGCATCCTCCAAGAAATAAATGCAAAGCGATTAGTATAAACGCGTATTGCGATTTACGTTTTTTTTATTTTTCGAAGTATTTGTTTTATAAATAGAATAAATTCATTAACACGGCAAAAAAGTAGCAATAATACTTTTTATTTTTTTATTTTGCTGCCAAAGAGCAACTTTTTATTGCAATTAATAATGTAATAATAATAATATAAAAAAATTCTGTAATGAAGAATTTAATGTCGAGACAAGAAAATTAAAATTATTTATAATTTTTATATTCCATCCCAAATTAAGAAAATGTTTATTGTTATTATAATTATAATTACTCGTTTGATATTTTATATCATAAAATAGGATAAATTCGGCCCAAAATCGGGATATAATATTTTAAAAACGTCTTAAAAGATGTCTTATGTCCTGATTTTAGACAAACATTTAAATATCTAGATTTTTTTTTTAAATTTGGACCAAAATTATCTCATCTCGTTTGGACGAAAGTTATCCTATTTTACAGTATAAAATTGACGAAACTTTACACAATTCAATTAATAAGGTATGTCTAAAAAATGTCATTCTCTTTGTTTCATTCACATGGTGCATGGTCTCGAAATGAGAAAAACCGATATTCATAATTCGATTATACCAAGGTCACTTGGAAACTACTTTCCGTCTTCGCCTAAAAAATTGCTGAGATAGATCCTTTCAAGTGTTCGCGAACTATCAGGAGCGAGGGTGCGCGATTGCAAGTGCCGGCCAAGTTCAAGTGCGGTCGGCAGTCAACGCCGACGAACTTTCAAAGTCCGACACTAGGATCAACGGTGGGGATTCATACAGTGGACCAGACCACCGGGTATATAAAGCGGTCGCGATCAACACCGCACATCATCAGTCTTGCTTTGGTCGATCCAAACCAACCAAATCCACTCAAGAATGGCATTCAAGGTGGGTAAAGGATCGCAAACGTTGAGGATTTTCCAAATCCATTAGATTGTGTTTAAAATCTATTCTTTATTAAATTTTGTTGTACACTCGAAATGATCTCTTGAAACAAAGATTTACTTTCTAGAATTCGTTTTCGTATAATAATAAAATTCGCGAGTGAATCAATTAATAGGAATTGCTCCTCGCGCAAATTCCAAGTGCATATCGAAATGTAAAATTAAGATCAATTTGATATTGTCAAGTTCTCTTCTCGTAAAACAGACAGAACAGAGATTTTATCAATATTCTTTTGCAGTTTGTCGTGTTTGCTGCCTTTGTGGCCGTCGCCAACGCCGGTGTTCTTGCACCTGCCGCCCCCTTAGCTTATGCCGCGGGACCCGCAATCGTCGCCGCTGCTCCCGTTGCCAAGGCAGTGGTGGCTAAGACTATCGACGCCGACTTCGATCCGCATCCACAATACAGCTACGCCTATGACGTGCACGACAGCCTGACCGGAGATGCCAAGAGCCAACACGAGACTCGTGACGGCGACCTCGTCCAGGGTAGCTATTCTCTCTTGGAAGCTGATGGCACCAGGCGCACTGTTGACTACACCGCTGACTCAGTCAACGGATTCAACGCCGTAGTCCGCAAGGAACCCGCCGCCGTTGCCGTCAAGGCCGTCGCCCCAGTTGCCGCTCCCATCGCACATGTCGCACACGCTGCACCCCTCGCCTACGCTGCCCCAGTCGCCAAGATCGCCGCTCCCATCGCCAAGCTGGCCACCCCAGTAGCTGCTGCACCCCTCGCCTACGCCGCTCCCGTCGCTAAGCTGGCCGCCCCGATCGCTGCTCCCCTCACCTATACCGCCCCCGTAGCTAAAATCGCTGCTCCTGCCGTAGCTCACTTCGCGCACGCTGCACCCCTTACCTATACCGCCCACGCCTCCCCTCTTGCGTATGCCGCGCACACCTCTCCTCTTGCGTATGCCGCGCACGCCTCTCCTCTTGCGTATGCCGCGCACGCCTCTCCTCTTGCGTATGCCGCGCACGCCTCTCCTCTTGCGTATGCCGCGCACGCCGCCCCTCTAGCAGCTCCTCTTGCAGCCCCTCTTGCTAAATTTGCTGCTGCACCTGCCATCTCCTATGCCGCCCCGGCTGCACCTGCCATCTCTTATGCCGCCCCGGCTGCATCTGCCATCTCTTATGCCGCCCCAGCTGCTTACATCCACTAATCGTGTTGATCACGCCAATCTACATTGTCGACTCAGGCCGAACTTATTTATTTTTATATCATGTACATGTTCTTTTTATGTGACTGATTAAAGAAATTACATACATATTTGAGACTATTTGCTTTCGAAACCTTGTTAACCATTTCCTGTTGTCATCATGTAATATGTTAATACATGTATATATGATTAAAATTAAATGTATAGTATATATGTTGGCTACTTACATGTAAGCGAATTACTTATAATAGTATATATGGCTGATGACGAGTATTGTATTCCATATTGTGCAATACAAAAATATTTGTAGAAAATTAAAATATAAACAGATAGAGTCTTCCATTTTCAATATGATAAAAGGAAGTTCCTTATCAAATGATAAGGAACATTGACGCAACGAATATTATAATCAATTTAAAATAAAAAAAATAAAAATGAAATACACAAAATCAAAATAGACAGGAATATTACATTTGCGGTATTAATGATCAATTTTAATAAATTTCATGCGATTTCAGTCAACATAAAGATAAAATAGAAATATCTAAATAATTTGTTATAATTTTAATTAAAAGTGGAAATGTATAAATAATTTGTGAAATCATTGATGGAAAGTAATCAGAAATTATTTTGATTTGTTATATTGATTAATTTTATTGCATTCACAAAATAATCGCCCATATTATGTTTCTTATACCGAAGGATCACACATTTATTCCAACATATTATAATTTACGTTCAAATATATATACATATTTTCATTCTTTGTTTATGAAATATTTAAAGTTTTTGCAGGATAGTAAAAATATTATAAAGAAAAAATATTTTAGAAAAATATCTAAAATTCACGTTTAATTACTTATATGATTCTTCATAAATTGAAGTATTAACAATTTTTAACAAAATTTTTGTTCTTTCGAAGCATACCCACTATTGTGTTTATCAAACAAGATGACATCGTATTAATCAAAAAGTCGTGTTAATATTTATTTAAGCACTCTTACTGTTCTGAGAAAAGAATGGCGAAATGATTAAAGTAATCAAAATCTAGATATCGAGCGATTACCACATATGATGTGCTAATCGTGTGCGTCATATGCGACATTCTAGCTCGCGATTGCAATTCGTATTGTTCTGTGTCGTCATGCTAATATAAATTCACGACATGGTGTCGAAATTGCTCGCTGCTGTCGTTTGTGCCGAATCTATTTTGCATCGTTTCGAGAACCCACTCTCGCGATTCAAGATTATCGAGAGCTGTCCCTGTGATGTGTTTATGATGTGCGATATTAAACACAAATACAGATTATAGAACGTGAACAAGTTTTAGTTCTTAAAAACAGAAACAACACTTTATAGCTATTTTGTCACCTTATTACTCGCTCTAATTTCCAATTATATAACTCGTGATTTAATCTTATAATATCTACAAAATTATGCCTTGTAAATTATTATTCATATTTTCGTGAAACAACTTTTTATGAAATCTAGAATATGATATTTGAAATATCGAATAATGTAAATCATCATAAGAATTAAAAATAGCTGTCTCACAATGATATCAAAATAAAAAGAAATGAATTTTAAAATTTTGTCGGTACTTTAAACGATCTGTTTCTAAATTCAATTTGACTTTTGTAACGAAACAAGCAGCATTAAATTTCTTGCCCCGAAACAAGCAGCATTAAATTTCTCGATCCTTGAATGGGCACGTGCCCTTGATGCATGGGGTAAACTTTCGCGCGTAATACCGCGGCGATTGGCATCACGTTATTTCTGGCGTTCGCCAGAATTGACCCACTTTCTCCGCTTTTCGCTCGTCCTTTCTCGAGCACCTCCCCGAGACGCGCAGCCGCGCAAGGATCGCGGCGGAGCCTCCACTTTTGTTCGCCGGTCTCGATCGGTCGATTGCAAAAGTGCCGTTGCATCGCCTAAAAATCGCGGGCACGACAATGGAAAGACACAATTTTGCGAATGCAATGTCGCCCGTCGTGTTTCGCCGATCGGCGATGACTCGCGCTGCGTGCGACATGGGTCACGTTAATTCGATTCATTCAGATAATTGAACCATTGAACATTCTGCCGAATAATTCTATCACGTTATATTCGCCTAATTATATCGCAATGTATCCGATTTGGGATGATTTATATAATTTCAAGTGTAATTTTATCCGATTAAATTTGATAATCACTAAAAATAAAAATTATAACATTCTGTCATCGAAACAGTTAATTTCGACTTTTGTACTTCACACTATTAGTGATAAATTAACATTTAGCACGGAGATTTATTTTTTTAAATCTTATAGAGAAAACTTTTTTGAATAAAATTTGTAATTCATTATTTTCATTGTATACCTTGCTTGAAAATATGACACTTTTCAGCATCACTATAGTGGCTTTCCCGTCTTCTAAAGATTAAAATTTTTTTATTTAAATAAAATCCATTAAAGGCATACTTGAGGTTTCAAGTCCCGAAGATCATGGCCAGTATTCATAGGCCGATATTTATAGTAGATTTAATTTTATCTTAAATACAATCTTAATACATTATAAGCCAACTATAGAGCTGCATTTCATTTTAAGACATTACTTAAAATTCATTTTAAAACATTACTTAATATAAGTATATAACGATATAACTGTATAAATTTAAAAAAACAGCCACATAGAGAAGATATAAAATCAATGATTACTTTTTAATAAGTCTTAAGTTATAAGAAATTGACCAATTACAATCGAATGCAAGAAGAATATTTGACTGTAATTGATCAATTTCTTATGACTTAAGGCTTAAAACACCTATTGAACCGGAGGATTAAGGCTTATGGCATAAGACATAATCGCATAAACTAATCAGAGGACTGTATTAGCATCTTAAGAAATTACTTAAGATGATCTTAAAATATGAGCAGATTACGAATATACGCTCTTAGTTTTATTATATCTTATTATTTTTCTATTTAAATGAGATAAAACATTTTTTAATTTAAAAAAAAAGTTAAAAAGTTAACGTTTAAAAGTAACTCAGTTAAGTTAAAATTTAATGCATTTAAAATTAACTAAGTTAAAAGTTAAAAGTTCTTAATTTTTTAACTTTTTTTTAACTTTTAACGTTTTAACTAGTTAATATCCCCCTGGATATTAGATATTTTATCTCTAAGAAGGATAAAATAAGAACCAACTATGAATGGCGACCTTGTGATTGGCTTATTGCATCTTAAGACGATCTTGAATATAAGAATACCCATTATAAATATCGATCTAAGTTTCGCACATAAGCGAGCAACGCGCGGCATGTAAGGAAGCAAAGAAACGTAGGAAGAAGAATTACGTGTACACGCCAACCAAATTCGAGCTCGCTCATTCGTTCGTACACATTCGGCGCCGAATCCATTTGCCGTGGGAGAAAGGCGTCCAAATTCCAGGCCTCGATTTAAATTGCGTTGCGTAACAGGGCAGGCAGACCACTCGCACTTTTCGGGAAGCGCGTTGTTTTTCGACCAAACGATTCCACGGAAATGATTGATATAGCGATCTGCATGTTGAAATATCGTCTACAATAACCTTGATTCTAAAGGTTGTCGTTCTTACATATTTTGAATTGCTTATATATTATATGATTCATATATTAGATCCATTAATAGTACCATTAATACAGGATCATTTTATTTATCAAAAATCATGATAATTTCTCAAGATTCAAGTTTTGAATTAACAGACACTCACTTTTCCAATTTTTATTAAATTCTAGCTTATTATTTTTGGTCACCAATTTATTATTATTATAAATATTCGGTTATATAATCAAAGAGGTAGTTGCTGTAGAATTCCGGAAGAAGACTTGTTAAATACTTTCTTTGTGTATAGAGTTGAAATTGAAAGGATACAATATCGATATATTAAAATATAATTAAAAGCTTGTTGAAACCGATTATTAGCTATGCAAATTCGAGGGCACGATCACATTATGGTGAATGGGTATATCGTAACCTTCCTTCACGACAAGTTAACATGGTCCTCAATTAATATTTATTGGCCTGATCTTGTTCTTATCTCATTTGATCTTCACGATTTCTCGTTAGTGCGACTTCTTTTGTAAGGATAAGTCACTAATAATTCTAAATGCGCACGTGGAAGATAAAATGACTTTTAAAAGTAAAGAAAAAAGGATCGCATAATTTTCAATGAAGGGAGGCGTACAGTTGCACAATCGTTAAATCGCGAGAGTGTCGTAAGCGTTCTTAATGACGCGAGTGAATAAAGATGCAGTCAAGATATTTTTGGAGTCAATAAGATTTTAAAATTGTGGTGCCCACGACGTAACATGGAATTGCATTTTAATATAAAATGTATAATATATAATACTATGTTTAATCTGTGACATCGTCCCGTTTGCTTTTCGTCTTTCATATGCGCGACATATCTTCGATATTTTATAGTTAAAAATTCAGAATAAAAGTAAAAAAGTATGAGACATGCCAATAACTAAGGAGTGATCAAACTCCTTAACCAATAATGCAGGAGAATCTTTACAAGTTTCATACTTTTTATTTTTATTCAAAATTTTATTTTTATTCAGAATTTTTAATTATATGATGGCACACATCCTTTGCTGATAACTAATAACAAAGTAACTTATACTTAAATAAATGAACAGAGAATTCTATTAACGTGCATCATATTCATAATTTTATATTTTTATATGCTGGAGACATATATTTCCCTGTCAAGATTCATCATCTATCAGATTTACATACGCTATAGAGGTAAGAATTTAAGTACTTATTAAATATATTTTATAGATACATATATATATGTACAATGTATATATACATATGGATATATCTTTTAGTCCTGTTGCTTGTGTCTGATGACTTCTTTCATATGTGGTGCGCATGCTGATTGAACACATATATGGAATCTACAGTTTAACATCGATTTCGAATGATGAAGTTTTTATTTAGACAAGTGTTCTTGGCAAGGATATTCTCGGGGTTGCCACTTCCTTCTGAGAGAGGAATGAGAATATGAAAATATTTTGGTTTTAATCTATGCTAGAAATCCTGAGAATCGAATTCGGGATCTTTTATATAGCAGCCCAGTGCGCTGTCTATTCTGCCACACTTACTCTCATATATAAATATAAATATAAATATATA